GGCGCGCCGGCCCCACCTGCTGGCGTCTCGCGGTAGTGCACTTCCACCCTGCCCACCCGGCTTTGGACTGTTTCTTCCTAGCCTTGTGGGGGTGCACAGTGTGTGGCCTGATGTGGGGGCTTGGTGACCTCAGGGAAGTCTGCTGCCCTCTTTGACCCTCAGTTTTGTGATCTTTAAGGCGGGCCCCTGAGGGTGCGAGGTGAGCTCTGGCAGGTGCGCAGGAGAAGGCTCACCCTGCGTGCTTGAACGGTTCCTGCCTGAAGGGATGGAGCAACCCCTCCTGGGGCTCCTCACCTGGTACCTGCCACGTGGGGAGCATGTTGTCTGCCCGGCTTCCCGTGAGCCCATCCTGAGAAGGAAAAGTGCCATTCTTCCTCTTGTGGTCAGAGAGCTGAGCAGGCGGGCACCAGGCTGGAATGTCCCCCAGACACAGAAGCCATGCTGTGACTACAGACGCCCCACCACAGTTCCACAGCTCGATGGCTGCGCTGCCACCAGGATGGTGCTGGGAGCAGGCAGGTGTGCCTGCGAGGACAGCAGGAGCACTCTACTGTCCGTGCCACAGGTCACAGCTCTCAGCCACTGTGAGCAGCTGAGAGCACCATTGCCCTTCAACCACGTAACCTGAGACCCTGAGCAGACCCCAGTCACAGGGTCCGCAGCACGGAGCCCTTCACCACAGGGCACGTTACCCCTGGAAGGTCTGGGGTATAAGACATGTCACGCTGAAGGTACCCACCAGATACCCGTCTCGTATGCAGAGTAAGAGGGGCTCCAAGCGCCTGCCCCCACCGGTCACCGCGCTGCCTGGATCCCAGCTGTCTCCGAGACCATGGTCCCTGTCTGTGGGGCACTCAGCTGTTATGTCATAAGCAAGGGTGTGACAGACGCTGCACGTCACACCAGATGGCACCTCTGCACAGCAGTCCCTCCTTCGGGGGGAGCTGCCTTGTGCAGCGCCTTCTGTGGGAGGACGTCAGCCTCCGAGAGGCCCCTCAGGGCCTCTTCCTGGCTTCCCTGGCTCCTGCAGCAGGCCACCGTGGCCCTGTCGCTGCTGATCACGTTTCCTGAGTGAGTGGTGCTCTGGGCCTCCCATCCGGCCGCTCTTCTCTGACAGGCCCAGCCGGCGCCCAGCGCTCAGGTTCACGTGACCTAGGATCTGGGCATGTGGGCCACTGAAGGGGATGAGGGTCAGGGAGGGCTAGGGGATGGGAGATGCCATACCCAGAAAATACACAGGGATCTTTCCAATAATTTCTCCCGGTGGTCACGTATCCCGGGCTGACCCAGAGGAGAAACAGGCCTCCGTTTTGTTCTTAGTCAACAATCAGGAGCTGTCACCTCTGCAGTGTGTCTGGTATAAGACACGGTCTCTGCCCCTAAGGACCCCAGGACATGTGGCAGAAACTCCAGAACAGTGTCTCCAGGCTGTGCCGGGGCCAGGCGGGAACAGAAAGCATGCCCGGCAGCCTGGGCCCTGCACTGGAAACAGGTCTGTCCTCCTGGCGCCTCTCTGCTCACCAGTGTGCTCTGTCCTCTGATGATCCCCAGGGCCTGTGACGGAGCCTGGTGGGTGACCAGCGCTCAGGAAGCTGTTTAATGAATGAGTGAGTGGACGAATGAATGGATGAATGTTCCCATCTTGTGTTAGGGGTGGGACTTGGGGTCTTCGGGGTTGAATGTACTGTAAGTACTGATACAGCTCTGCCTGGAGATAACAGGACACGAATTACAAACAGCCTCAAATAATCTAGCCACACTGGACCTGACTGCTCTGCAGGTATGGTCTGGCCAGCTGCCCCCAGCACGCCTCCACAGCGCCCCCACCTGGCCGGG